TACTTATATATATATATATATATATATATATATATATATATTTTGATTGGTAACATTTCATTCAAAATATCCAAGTCCAAATAAATTAACAAATTGTAAACTAAATATACAAAAAATATTGTCATTCTCAGAGCACATAGATTAACTTTCACAATTGCAAAAAGGAAACTCAATTAAAAGAACAAAACAAGAAGCTAAATCACCACACTTCTCTCCTAGTGGCTCTGTTGAAACAGATGAATCCATTAGTTACTATAGTTAGACTTTGCAATTTGATGAAATCAGTATAGGGTTGATTATGTAATAAAAATATTAGTATTTAATAAATTAATTAATTTTTATTTTGATTAAGTAAAATGATAATCCAACTTAGAGTTTCCAATTTTTAAATATATATATAACATGGGAAAAAGTCCTGAAAGTCCTAGTCATTTGCGTTGATGAGATTGATAGATTCTTTCTTTACCTAAAATCTTGTGTATTTTGTTACAAAAAACCTATTTATATTTATGTTCTACATCACTACAAATATTATTCACTTGCTAATATAGATAAAAAAAAGTTGTTGAAATTCTTACAAAGACTTCACTTTGGTTTGCAAGGTACGTCGGATGATTTTTAATTACAACCTAATTTTAAATGTTTGCATTTCTACATCTCAAATTTAAAGAGCTAGGCTATATTGATTGCATTTTTTTTAATTTTTAATGTAAAGAAAATGCAGGTTCTATTACTCCCTCGAACTTATTTTATAAATAATTTTTTCGGCCTACGTGGCACTATAATTGAAAAAATTGTTAACACGCGCTGGATCCACAAGATAGTGCGACGTAAGCCGAAAAGGGGTTCTTTATAAAATAAGTTAAGGGGGTAATAGGACCTTATTATAGTATAAGTATGTCTCTGAGATTTCGGACATAGTTTAGGATATTACTTATGCATTTTCCCTTTAATGTGTGTATAACTTATTTAATCTAATTGTGGATTGATATATAGGAGGTGCAATGAAAATCTCCAAGAGAAAGAAGAGAAAAGAAGATGATGAGCAACCTATGATGAATTGTAACATACCCAATGAAATGGTAATTGAGATATTAGGAAGAGTAGCTTGTCAAGATTTGGTACAAAATTTGAAGTTGGTATGTAAGAAATGGTATTCCATTATCTACAATGGAAGTTTTGCCTACTCACACTTTGAACACAATAATAATAATAATAAGAAGAAGAAATCCTCATCATTCTCTCAACTTAAGGCTCTTGTTATTTCCACAAGTAATGGAAAATCCGTCACTGTTTCTTCCTTGGAATGGCATGATAATTTCTTAGAGAAACCATTCGAAAACTTGACGATGAATGATTGTAAAGACTTATTCACTGTGGAATATACATCAGAATCACGTATTGAGCAAATGTCCTTTCATAAGGCAAACTGTGTGAATGGTTTTGTGTGTTTTTGGAGTACGCGTCATGCTCGTTTTCACATTTGTAATTCAATGACTATGGAATATGTGACAACTCCACCAAATCCATATTGGTCTTCAATTAGAGGAAATCACATTACAGCTGGGCTTGGATTTTGCCCAATTACATATCAGTACAAATTGGTCGTTTTTCAAAGTCACTATGATTTTGATGCTCCTAAATCATCAGAATTGGTGAAAGGTTCAATTTCAACTATTAACGGGAAGGACCAATCATGGAGGCCTTTAAAATGGATTGACGATTCACTTGAACCAGGTCCTAGGTCACCGGCATGTGTTAATGGAGCGTTATATTGGACTACAAACACTACTTGTGCTGATTACAGTCGAGGTATTTATGATACAACAATACTTGTTGCTTTCGACATTGCTAAGGAAGAATCTTATGTGATTGAAGTACCAATAGAAAGTGAAGCACACCATGTAAGTATAGAGGAAAAAGGAGGAAAGATATGTTTGATAACAAATGAGCTGTGTCACGATTCGAGATGTATATTGTTCAAGGGATACATTGCTCATAATATGAATGATCTGGAAAACTTAAATTCATGGAAACTAGAGTTTAATGTGACAATTTATGACATATATGGCGAATTTGGTGACCAACACATGAGCTTTACCAACGAGATTTTGATGGTTGATACATATGAGAGCATGTCTTTTTTCGATGTTGCAACTGGAAAGATATTGGATGAATTTCAAACCTCCAATAGCACCCGTTCAATTTTAATCCCTTATGTGCCTAGTTTGATATCTCTTCACCATCGCCCAGTAAGAGAAAAAAAATACTTAGACGCTGTGTGCGGGTTGTAACTATTTATTTTCAAGTATTTATTTTTGTTAGCACGTCTTTTATCAAATTCTCCCTCCTACTGATTCAACTACACTTATTTATTTTGGTTTGACTACACTGAAGCGAAAATTAAAGACATTCTTATATCGTGCTTTACTAGCAAGTAAAGAATGCATAACTCTCGCTACAATGACTCTCATCCTCCCAGGTGGACGAAATGCACACGTACTCGCACTTCAAAATCCCTGTGATGAAAAAATTTAGTTGTAACAACAAAGAATGATTTTATATATGAAATCAATGATATGCTTATTGCAAAGTTTCCAGAGAAAGCAACTTTGCCATTGACGAGCATAACAATCAAACTCAGATCTATTACACACTTTGAATTATAAATTAACTTTGAAAGAAAATCATCCCATCATATTTCTATGAAAAATTTGAATCCATATGAATGTTTATGTAATGGTACAATACTTACCTCAAGCTATGGAACACTATTGGTAATGCAAACATCAATCCAAGCTACAATTAATATTGGCTCCAACTATTCTGCAGCTAACTTCATGATGAGTAAGTTGCACTTTCCCTGTCTTCCTTTCTCTATACCTTACTCATTCCGTTCTAATTTATGCGTTTAGTTTTTGGATTTTGAGATTTAAACAAGTCTATATTTGTATAACTTGTTTGATTGTAACCACATATACAACAGTTTGGTGTTAGTTTCTACGTCACAGCATTCAATAATTTACACCAGAGGACTGGGATCTGTGGGTGATCATTCAACAGGCAAGGTTAACTGAAGAACTTTCAGGATTTCACATAATACCTACATTTCAAATTGCTGGAACCTGTTTCTCCATTTATGCTTGCCTTAACTCTTGGAATAGAGCGATTCTAAGTAGAATACGTTCTTATTATAACTCTGTAATAGCAATAATGTATGTTTTTAGAATGAATTCTGTTTTTATTGCCACTTATTTGCTAGCAGGTAAACTTGCTTGCGACAAACATATATTGGTCATCAACAGGTAAAGTTTAATTTAGAATACAGAACTGCTTAAGCGCCACAATATAAACTAAATAGCATTGATCGATGAAAAGTGAAAAATAGCGCACCTAGATGATGATGTTAACTTAATTCCTAACATGCCTAAACTTCCCTTACCTTTACATTTCTAAGTTTCAACATGACATGTAGATAAGGAAGTGGACCTCTTCTCAGACCATAATGTTATGACAGAATCATCGAAGACTCTCAAACCATAATGTTATGAGCTTACAAGAGAATCATTGAACGCATCGCAACACCTAAACTAGAAGACTTTTAATGACACAATCTAAATGCTAGGCTGCATATATGCCTTAATCTAGTGAAAGTAAAAATTTCAGTACCTTAATTATACCAAATTGGCATTTAACATCTGGAAATAAGGATATTTATGTTATTTAACTTAACACATTGGTGCTCCTTTTTCCATAGAGAGTTGCGGAACCTCCTGTTATAAGTTTTTTGAACAAAATATGAAGTGATTGATATTTTATTGCACATTCTTGAAGAGAAGAGGATTTGTATCAGTAATTAGTTGGTTCCTTTTTTCCTATAGCACATAATTTAAATTTCTCAAGTCACAGAAATGCCTGATCTCTTCTATCCAAGTTGATGTCTATTATCTTTCTAAAAGCACGGAAGTATTTTGAGGAGATATATAGGCTAGACTGAGCATGTATTAAGTTTGACCAGACCAGCTTCTCAACAAAACAGATGTATTTGAAGCTTACAGGTGGTTTTCCCAAGTTAGTGTGTAATAATGCAGCACCACTGATCACCTAAATGGACATTCATGTTACACTCATTTTCTAACTAGAGAAAGACTAGCTGCATGGCCGGTTGTTGATGATACTTTGCATTATGAACAATAAAAAGGCCAAAAACAGAAAAGAAAATAATAAAAATTAAAAGCACAAATGTTTTTGAAAACCAACAAAAAGTATCATTGAGTCCGCCCTCAAATGTCCACTCACTTAACAGAGGAGTCAAAACATAATTTTCAATCATTCAAACATAAAACTAAAATGCAAAGACACCAGATAATAACTTTTTCAAGTTAAAACTTAATGTTACGATTGACCGCGAGTTGCAGATCTCAACACTCTTGAAGACCTGAGTTGATCTCCCAATGGCCCATGAGCAGACGTCTCATGTCTAGCTCGTGACGCCCCCGCTGCAGATGTCTCACCTCTTTCTCGTTGCCCAGTTAATCCTGATGCCCCACCTATGGCACGTAACGCCCCCACTGCAGGCGTCTCACCTCCGTCCTGTGGCCCAGTTCTCGTCACTCTGGTTCGTCGTCGTCTCACTAAAGGTGGTTGAGGTGGCGATGAATCTATGTAAAAATAGCAGCAGCAGATTAGTTTTACGCAACCTTAACCCTAATTTGAGAAATAGAAAAGTTATTGTCGATAGATACCTCGACTCATGGGAATACATATCAAGGATAATCTAAAAAAGAAATGAATACCACCGTAAGCAAAACTAATTCCACGTGTTTAGTGTAATCTCTTTTGGTATATTCGTCATAACACCTAAAACCACATCACAACAGTTGACAAGACATTATACTAATTAAGTGCTTAAAAGATAATTATTTTTTCTCTATTATTGAAAAACAGCAAGAATCTCATCATATATAGTAGACAAAACTACTCCCAAGTGTATAAAAGATAAACTTTTCTTCTCTTTAATGAACATAAAACAAAGCAACAAAATCCCATCAATTAAATATATCTTACTTTATTATGAATGTTAAATAAAACACAGTTGTATCTCATTATTGAAAAAGAGAACTGAGTCATTTTTCTCGGTGAGAAAAAATTGGAACTTTGTTTCTTTAAAACCGTAAAGAATCAGGATTAAAAAAGAATAAGTTAATAATTTTATACCTTGCTCGATGGTGAGCACGAGTAAGAATCTTCCATTGTTTCTAGACCTCGCCCACTGGTATGTCACACTTATACTTTCATTTGATCGAAAGTGTTTGGCTACAGCCGGCCAATACAAGTAAAAATAGTTCGGCTCTTCTTAAGAAAATATCAGACCTGGGGTGGGAGGCGCGGGGAGTCGGGATGAAAGCAAAGTCACGGGAAGTGACCTATCTCTCCAATTAATGGAATGCACAAAGGAATGTTGAGGACTTCCATTCCTAAGAGGTTGCATTTCAAAGCTACTGAGTCGTATCCTACAACTATTAAGCATGTACTTTGTTACTCTTATATTAAACCAAAATAGTCGAACATTTGAAACGAAATCAAACGACCATCAAATGGTCTCCAATCATCACGTGCTGCTTCACTGAGCGCGTCAAGGTTTAGAACGGGAATTTATACCGGTGGAACAACATTTTGAGCTACAGCAACTGGAACTGGTTGTTGTTGTTGTTGCTCCATCACAACATTTGGAGCTGGTTGTTGTTCCACAACAACATTCGCAGGAACATTTCCAATGACACTGCCAACAAATAATTAAAAAAATCAGTAGGTTAAAAAAATACAATCTGAAAAAAATAAATCAAAGTCATTACATTTGGCTTTGATTGTCTCTAGCATTCCCATAGCCATACAATAGTGGTTGTATCCTCCAGGTCCCCCAACATTATTGTAAAGTTCAGTGATTATTGCTACTAAATCTTGATTTGCCGCCATTTTCGAAAGGCACTTTAGAGAATAGAATACAAGAGAGTTAAGTTTGATGAACTTTTGCAAATGAGTACTACACTCATATTTCATTGTTTGTATTTCAATTGGGTACATGTAAAAGTAAAGGGCACAGCTAGCTTATTTAGTGAATAGTGAGCCGGTTTATGTAATGTTTAATTTTTTTTAAATTTATGTGAGGTTTAGATGATATAGTTTAGCTTATGATATCTTCATTTATCACATATATACATGAGAAACTAAATTTATTTCAATTAAAGTATGATGAAATAATTTTCTAGTGTTTTTTTTTTATCAGGAAAATAATATAGTTAAATTTAATATATGAGGTTAAGGACATATTGCGTCTTATATTTTGACTTGTTAGATTCTGTTATTAGTTGAATATTAATAGAAGTGTACAAATGTCGGTTAGATTTGTTTTCTAATAAAAATTAATTATGTCAGATTTTTTAATTTTGAATTTTAATCGGTTCTTTCAATATTTCCATTATCTTATAATTATATAGGAATTAAAAGAGATCAAATATATTTTTATTTATATGTGATGCTAGAACTAAAAATATTAAATGATAGAAATCTTCAAAAAGACTTAAAAAAAATTCATATGAATGCAAAATACTTTTATTGAAATATCAATTATATGATACGTTTATAAGATTAAAGATTACAATTAAACTAAATACAAAATAAAATATTTTAAGAAAATTAGAAACCAAAATTTGAAATAATGTCAAAATATTGAAAACTATAAGCTAATTTAAAAAATATTAACAAATTATATTATAATTAATATTTTTAAGTACAAATATTAGAATAATATTTCCAAATATTATGTTGTTTTGATTTTTTTCTTTCAAGATCAAATCAAGAGTGATCACTTTTTTCCAACACCAAATCAAATCAAAAGTAAATTTTTTTAGTCGAATTAGTTCATCAATTCAATTTGATTTGACGATTTGACTTGTACCCAAATATATAGTTGACTTAAAAAAAATATTTTTCAAAAATGGCCTTGGATTGGAGTTGAGGTCGAGAGTCGATCTTGAGAATGGGATCGAAGTTGGAAGTCAAGTCCAAAGTCGAGATTTGAATTTGAATTCATAATATTTTTATTTTTCAAATGTGCTCGGATTGGGGTTGAGGTTTGGGGTCGGATCTTGAGAGTTGGGTCGAGGTCGGGAGTCAAGTTTCAAGTCAAGAGATTTGAACTTGGATTCATAATATTTTTATTTTTAGAATGTTGTTTGAGTGTTTATTGGATTACTAATTACTATGAGAAAATGTACTAAAATACACCCTCGTATATACATAATATAGATTATCTAGATAATTACATCAATAACACATATAACATTACCAGTAACATTGATTCTCTACTTCCATAATTTAGAATTTCAATTTCACGTGTAATAATCACAGGCTAATAAAAATTAAAATCTTAAATATTGTTAAGATAAATATTTATTTTTTATACTACGGATAAACCTTGAAAAATATCACTCATTAAAGTGAAGCATACTTTTTTTTTCATATAAAAGTAAACTAATGGATATTATCTATTAGGGTTTCTATTGTTATATGTACAAAAGAGAAATGACAGAGCAAAATTTCTAACTTTACTGGTACATATTTGTTGCCTAATTTCCAGTAAAAATAAATAAACAAAAGAAGCAAAGTTCAAACCTACAGAGCATCTGATTTTAAAAGTAATGATTCCTAATGGT